TCCTATATATTTTAGTTATGAAAGTCGACTATGATTCTATTTTATAGGGAGATTTTTCTAAAGAAACCAATCTATATAGGAATCGAATTTTTATATAAAGTAAGATTGCAGTAGTAGCATTGGTCCACACAAATTACTTTTTTGTTAACATGGCAGTTGGTGGAGCTGTGACAATCCCATAGTTGTATGAATTCTTTAGTAGTACCTGGTCAGGCCTAAAAATCCCTGCAAGGCACTCATTGTCTACAACAAGGGCCACTATAACACTGTACAACTTTGGAGGAAGGTTACATGGAATGTTCATGTTCAAAAATTTAAACTTCTTACTCTTGGATAGTAAAATTTGAAGTAATTTACATGCAACTTTACAATATTGTGATTAATATTAAAAAAAGATGAAAAGAATTATTATCCCGTTGATTGTGGCAAAGGAAAGTGAAATTTAATTACTGTTTTGTTTCAACCCTGGGAGAATGATGCAGAAGCAAAGTAGGGACACTCCTAGAGTATGAGTCTCACATCAATAGGATTTTGTTGTTAAGCTTTTGGGTAGGTTAGAGTTCTTTTGTTATTATTTCAATATCCTATTTAAATTAGTTTTCCTTATAATTCGGAGTTCTTTACGTTAAGTTGAGTCCTAGGTTATACTATCTTTAGTTGTTACTCTAAAATGAATGGGATTCGTATAGATCTACATATATTCATGTAAAATTTCTTCATATGTCAGATTTTGATATAGAGAATAGATTTATTCAAGTAAAAAAATTTCTCAGAGATTAGAAATTCATTTAGTTTTTCAGTATTTTGATTAGTAAAATCAATTTTCCAAGTTAATATTGTTCTCTCTGCAAACCACTCTTTCAACCTTGCAACTATAGCTGCTTTCTATATTGTCAGCCTTTAGTCATTAGGCATGCTGCTGATTGTTTAATTTATAATCTTATCTTATTTTCTGCATGTTGTAGTTGGTGCATCTTCCCTCTATCGTAGTTGTATAACTGTATAGTTGATTGTACTTCTCAAACCTCAATCATTTTGATTTGTTGATATTTCAGAATTAATTTTTTTTTATCATGATATTTTCTGCAAAAATTCTTGAAAATTAATATATCAAATATTTTGTATTGGACTATGCATTGAAGATTCCAGTCGGGCACATAGTATGTGGTAGCTTAAATCATCTATTCTATTTGTATGAGAACTAACATGAGAAAGAGCTAGCTTACCTAGATGGTTATGTTCCTTGGGAAAACATATAACAAAAAATAGAGTAAGGGCAAGTTACAGTTTCACCATTGTTGTTTGGCTTTTTTTAAATTCAAATCTTATGTGTTTTATCTGGCAATTCAATACATGTGGTCTAATGAAATTGGATATTAAACATTGCAATCTTCTTATTCATCTTATCTCCTGTTTGGTTAATTGACTAGGAGAATTTAAATAGTAAATCATATCTCAGTGCAATTAAAGCGCAAATACTAAAAAACCTTTGTTGCATTCAACATGCTCCTAATGTGCAGATGCAAGAGGTTAGTTACGTGGAAATAACTGCCAAGCTGATATGATAACTGATGAGTTTTTCTTTTGGGACAAGTGCATTGGTAATAGTTAATTAGATCTAATTACGTGAGAAAATCTTTATTTTATCAATGCAGTGAAGATTGCTCTTATTGTTTAGAGTAGCCGTTTCGCATGAAATTCTTCAAATATGTTCATATTGACTCATGATCCAGTGAATGTCCACAAACTCAAGATACTTGTTCAAGTGAATGACTATGAAAAGTTTATGGACTCTTGTAGTTAACCAACTAATTGAATGAACAAATATATATGAGCGTTCAAAACATTGGTGATCTGATGGCAGTACCTTGCTTTGTAGGTTCCGCCTGATTTCTACATTTGATGAAGATGAGTAGAACCCCGATGAACGCATGAATTGTAAGTAGACATATTTAAATCATTGCATATGCAAAGACATTCGTATTTACAGTAGCTCACAATTCATAGTGTTGCAATGCAAAAATATGTTTACATTTCTCCACTTAGTTTCAAGTTATAGTAAAAATTTTCTTTAAAAAATGGATATCATAAGTTACAATCTCCGACATGTTATGCTTTCCGGAATGCAATGAGGAATGTGTTTCATAGCACACCCAGGAGGGATGATGAATACTATGATGAGAAAAATGATATTGATCATAACATTGATGTCTAAAGCTAACCAAATCAATGTATTGATTTCATGTTTTAAGTAGCAATTGCTTTGTGTAAGCAAAGGTTTGCCAGATTCTGATTGTAGCTAACAGGTTCATATTAAGAAAAATTAATATCTGCATATCCTTGTTCAAAATATATATATTTATTTCCTAACTATTTTGTTAGATTGAAATTTATGTATAAATAATCTTCTTTCCTGTTAAAGACATTGTATTAAAGGAAACTATTGAAATTTTTTGAAGTCAAGTTCGTCATATTCCTTCTGTCTCGGGTTACATAGAAGAGCTTATAAAATTTAAAGTAAATTATGATTTTATTTTTAGAATTTTTTACCATCATAAGATAAAAATATCTACTTTCTTTTATTATAGTTTACTACTATGATAATTTATTTTATTTTATTGATAGACAAAAAAGATAGAAATTGCTGGAGTAGATCCTAAAGAAATCCCACTTCCTCATGAATTTATCTTGAATTGGAATCTTTTGACTCAACTTTATCCATGTTTTGCTGAGAGAGCAACTCCATTTTTTTATCTTGAATTGATCAAAATATGTTGAATTTTTTACTTTTTTGTGGGGGATTAGATCCAGTGATCGGCGTTCTATGACTGACCGATATTGCACACCATCATTTAGCTATTGCAATTCTTTTCCTGATAGCAAGTCACATGTATTTTAGGCACAATTATCTTCAAAATAAAGAAGGAAATGACAATTATTTTTCTTTCTTTGCAAAAATTGTATTGTGAAGTGTTGTAAGATGCAGTAGTTACTAAAATAACAACGACAACTCGTGAGGTACTTATATTTAGGCCCATATGTATGTAATCTAACGCCACATAGTTGATTAAGGCCATATTTACTTGGGCTTTAAGGAAGACCAAATTTGATATGTTTTTTTTTTTAGCAACATTTTATCAACATATGCAACTAACAGTTTATTATATTAGGAAACTAGTTCATGACTCTCAACAAGAATAAGCAAAAACGTCCATTGAAGATCTCAAAGAGACAAATACCAAAAAGAACAAAGATCTAAATCATATTGCAAAATAACATGAAACCCAAAATTTCTAGCACATGAATAAGCAGGTACTTGCTGGAAGGCACTCTATGTCGGTTTGCAAGATTCTGTATTTAACATTTGGACAAATCAACTATGAATTAAGATTTATGTTTTAAATTATTTATATGAAATTATCGAATCCTGAAAACAAATGAGTCTTTTTTTTCAAGAACAAACGTCAATTCTAAGTTAATTAAACGCTAGCAAAGAGGCACAAATCCTACCCCAATCAGGATGGAAAGAGAATAAGAAAGTTGCCTTGGGCAAATAATTCAACCAATTCTTACTGGAGTTTCGTGTTTTGCAATAATCTTCCCCGTAAACTAAGGGTAGAGACATGAATTCCCCATAATTCTACTAAAGGTAAATAAAAGTTGCATTCAGAAGCCAATAACATCTCAACCTCTTCTCTACTGTCTTATAAACCTAGATTATTTGTTTTATCAATCTTGTGAAACTCAAGCAAATATATCCATGCAGCCAATTCCAGAACTTCATCATTTACCAGACACCAGGATATACACAAAGCACCATCTAGAACTTTATCATTTTCCAAATTGTGATTAATTAATCCAGAAAAGCTCATATTAATTTAACCACCATCACTTCAAGGTGACTTGGTTATGTTCCCCTCTCCATTACCACAGGAGCCCGGGTTCAAAAGGTCACAGCCCCTTAGGGGCTATTAAAAAAAGGCCATTACTTTGGAACTACAAAATCAACATCCATACGATAATTAAGAACAAGCCTATAATAAGCAACAGACAAAATCCAACAATAAAATATAAGCTCCAATGTTAAAAACTCACTTCATCATCCAAACAAAACTTCAACAGTTCAAAAAGAAAATTAAAATTCAAGTCCAACTACAGACTTGTAAAGCTCAAATTAACATGTGCTGACTGCATGTGAGAGGCGATCAATAAGCAATGCAACTTCTTAGTCAAACAGACTGAAACCCATGTCCTGTAAACAAATATCAAACACAGCCAATGTAAGTATCAAAAAGATTTTCAATATTTGCAAAGGGAAGAAGTGACTATTTAACAAGAAAATCTTACATCATCAGATTCCTCTTTCTCCTCTTTCTTCTCTTCTTTCTTTTCCTCAGCACCAGGTGCGGCTGCAGCACCACCAACTGAAGGAGCTGCGGCAACTGCAGCACCACCGCCACCGCCACATGGCACAGAAGCCAACTTCTCCCTTCCGGCTGCAATTAGCTCTACTATATCCTTACCATGAACCTGGGAGAGAAGAAGCTCAATTCTTTCATCTTCAGCTTCAGCCCCAACTGCAAAACACGAAAGTAAATTAGCTTTTCATTGCAAGGCTTCCCCTCTCACAGCAGAAATCCAACCTCAACATAGCCTCTAGACATAGGAAAACGTTATATCCTGTATAAGACTTACCAATTCATCCAAAAAAATACTTAGTAGCATACCATGTTCACAGAATTTCCGCTCAATTTCCTAAAATATAGGGTACCCTCATCTTATTCTTCAGTATTGAGAAACTTGAAAATCAACATAGCACGCACTTTCCAACCAAAAAAATAAACGATTGCACCCAGATGCCAGACACTTCAAATCATAAATTACAACTTAATTTAAAGATATTTACACCAAATCCTTATAAGAGAGAACTAAAACAACAAAACTAGAATCTCTTAATTCCATCCATATCATGACGAAAGCACTTCAACAAAAGAGAAATTTCTAATACATCTGAATCGAAAAGGCTTAATCAAAATCAGCGCCAAAATGAAAAACAAAGGACAAAAACATATGACAAAGAACATGAAGCTCGAATAGAACTTAAGATTTGGTTACACTTTATGGGTTGTTGAAATTAAAATTTGCAATGCCGTGAAAAAAAATAGATAAAAAACAAGACTGATTACCCGATCCGAGAATGGCTTTGATGTCTTTAGCCGTGGGGCATGCATTGCCTCCCAATACAGCAAGCAAATAGGCAGCGATTACCTTCATTTCTGCTCGGAATACACAAACTTAAATATCAAATCTTTGGAATAAACATGATATATACATATGTAACGCCCCGAAACTTAACTAGATGAGATGTCGATGCCATCTGTTCTCACCTATCAGTAATCATATATCTAAACACCATCTCTCATGTAATTGTCATTTCAAGGTAAATGTCAAGCATAACTTCTTTCCTGTGTTTCCTTGACATACATGCATAGTATTTTATTGACTAACTCCACATTACCACGACATAACTAAAGTATTCTTATTACATGTCTGCAATTAAAACTGCTGTGTAAGTGTGTGTATAATGGTATTGGTTTTGCTTAGTCACTCCTCGCATCCCCCTCGGTGTTGGATTTCGCTGGTGGTAATTCCCATTCCAGTTCCTGCTTCACCATATCTGTAAATAAACAGTAATGAGCCTACACATGCCCAGTAAGTCAAAGTTAGAATTTGAAACAATGTATTGAAATTAGTCTAATTCCTAGGCCGGAGTCCCCCTCAACACTGCCTCTCCTAAACAGCCCATTTTCTCACCCGAAGTTTTACTGATTTTCAGACATTTCCTACCCCTTTATAGCAAGTATATCTTGCACATTTCACCAACAGAATTCATATTGCCTCCTACCCAGCAAGAAACAAACCCATGACCCCTCCCCTGGTATGCTCCCAGAATTCTGCAGGGTCCCTCCCAGTATCCTCTCACTCAACAGCCCTCTAATCTCTCTTCTGGTATGTTTTTCCAGAACCCCACTGGATCCTTCCCAGCGCCATCCCACTCTAACAACCCTCTAATCTCTCTCTTGGTATATTCTTCCAGAACTCCACTGGATGAAATTCCCATTTTAGTTCATCACCTAAATACCTCAGCACATTCTGTCACCTAATCCCTGCGTTTCATCACCCCTTTGTCTACCCGTATCCACTCTTTCAATGAGTGGGAATTGTATCTGCTCACTGTCAGCAATAACCTCTATACACAGCAAACCATATCTCTCATCTCTCGCAGATTTATCCTCACGTTCAGCAGTCTCATCTCTCTTCAGGTTTTACAGAGACTTTCACACTACCCCCAAATCTATACTCAGTTTTTATCTCCATAAGACCCAAGTGACCATTATTCCTTCCCACTGTAATCCATACACAACCAGCTAGCTCTCATCACATCACGCTTGACTCACCCTATGCTCACCATTTTAATGTTTGTCACCCAGGTTGATTCGATCTCTCTCTCTTCATTTTGATACGAGACATTTTCTCCTTATAATCTCTTCCCTTCTTGACAAGCATACAAGATATTCGATGCAAGAATTCGAATATACATATCTCAAATTCGAGGTTTAGAAGATAAATATGTCTTACCTCTTGCTTCTGCCTGAATATTCGTCTACAAAATTGTCTTTCTTCGGACCCTTTTCGTCCTTGCGGATTCCTAACAACGATTCCTCTTTCCAATCCTCATTGAATCATGCTGCCTGTCGTCTCTTCACTCAACCTCTCTGCTCTCACTCTCTCTCTTGGCCTTTCTTTCTTGCCACTTCTCTTTCACGCCGCCCCTTCTTCTTTCTAGGGTTCCTCTTGTTATGAAGGAACCAAAAAGAGGAATTTATCTGGGGTAATGGAGCCATTTGATCCCAACAATAGATCTAAGACTGCTGATTACATTTTTTTTTATCTTTTTAAAATTCCTAATTTTCCCCTTCCCTATTTAAAATCTTTACAATGCCCCATTTATTTTCCTATTGCTAAATGGGAAAGGGATGTTACAAACTTTTTCCATTTAGAAAAAATTTGGTCCTCTAAATTTGTACTTATTAGGGGGTTGGAAATTATTACTCTTATTTGTTTCCCAAATGTTAAGGTTTTTAAATTATTTTATTCACTCTCTAACTTTCTAAATTTAATACATGATTAGGTGGAATATGTTTTCTCTATACAGTCTAAGTACACCAACATATGCATAATCTTTGAAGTCTTGGAATTTTTGTTAACCTATATTTGGTTTGGTTGTACTTAAATATGAAGATCTACCTACGTTAGGGTTTACAAGATCTCCTCCTCTTCCATATTCGATGACTTATCTTTTAACTAGGTTGTATTATCCCTCAAAATCCATCAAAGGCTAAAGGATTCTAAATATACCTCAATACATTATCAACTTTTTCCTAATGTCCTCTAGTCTGTACATAATGAATTATACAATCCATAGTTATTACCGAGGATCATTGGGAGGTCCTTTGATAAAAGACTCATTTATTAGTTTTTTTTTTCAAGTGGTTATGTTTTGTTCTATCTCTTGCAAGTATACCTTAAGCTTTCAAAATTTTTAAGTATCCAAACTTAAGTGTGGTCTTAAGATGTAGGTCACCTATTTATCACATCATCAATTTTTTCCTTATTGTTTCGAAGAGAACTCTTTTGTGTTTGGTGGGTTATGGGTCCTCAGTCCTTCCGATGTGCTTTTTTTATGATGTTCACTTTGGAGGCCTATCTTGGTATATTGCCTTATTTTTGTATTTCTTTTAGGTACAAGGAACTCATACTCTAGTTTTATCATCACATTAACTTGTTGTCAGAACATATCCCTATAGTGTTCTCATTCTTTCTCAAAAATTTACTTTAGAAGGAACAAGATGTGTTAAGAAGGAGAGTTTTAATTTAACATACTCTGTTTCATCCCACAACAAATATTTCTGTCTACCAAGTATATGAGAATTTAATATCTAAGAGTTGGTAACATTTAAGCTTTCTATGGTTTCCTGTACTAAGACTGATTATGATTGTTACTTATTCACCATCTCCAGTTGGGTTTGGAGTAAAGTTCCAACATTTTATTCCCTAAGTTTATCACATTTCGAACCCATGTAATTCCTATCTCTTCGAACTTTTAGAATCATGGTCTTACTTTCTCATATTCGTGGACGTTTCGAAGGAAGTCCCAAAACCTCACCTAATGTGCATATTATCTAATTTCTTTTGGCTTCCATGTACAATGGTGATTCCTTATTTCTCTTAGTAACCTCAACATCATCTTCATGTCTAC